AATGCCACCTCCCCCTCCCCCTCTTCCTGGTGGTCCTGGAATCCCTCCACCCCCTCCTTTTCCTGGAGGCCCCTGCATTCCCCCACCTCCACCTGGAATGGGTATGCCTCCACCTCCCCCCTTTGGATTTGGAGTTCCTGCAGCCCCAATTCTGCCATTTGGATTAACTCCAAAGAAGCTTTACAAGCCAGAAGTGCAGCTCCGAAGGCCAAATTGGTCCAAGGTGAGTGTTTCTGTCCATTTATTCATCAGTAGGTCTTAAAGGAACCACTTCAGTTTCGTATTTTGGTATTTTGTATATGACTGTATGACTGGTCTAACCTTTCTTGTGGCATACATGTGTCTCCAGATTCTGTTCATGCTTTCAGCAGGTATTTATTGGGCATCTCCCATGTGCCAGATATTGCCATGAAGAGTTTTATAAACCATGTACCCTGCTAAAAATAAATAAATTTATCATTAAGTTAATGTTTTTGCCTTGCCTCTGGGGATAAGTACCATGATAACAAGTTTGATGATTATTGTCATTTTACCACTCTGCAAGCTACTGATAATTGCTGGTCCAAAAGTCATAGGTTTATGAATTAACTCCCACCCCGGTATTTAAGTTACTCAGGCCATGTTTCCAATGCATAGTATAGTGCCTAAGGCACTTGACTGCTAACCAGAAGGCTGGCAGTTCAAACCCACCAGCCACTCCTTGGAAGGAAGGTTGGGCAATCTACTTCTGTAGTGATACTGCCTCGGAAACCCAAGGAGGGGTCGCTATGAGTCAGGTCTTACTCAACAGCATATAACAACAACATGTGTTTGAGATACTCTTGATTCTGAGTCAGACTTTTGCTTCCATAAACCAAGTTAAAATAAAAGGATTTGGAGATTTATTCATAAAATCAACAAATTTGTCACAGTTCACCACATTGATGAGAAAAATGTAATGTAGAAGCAAGGGAAAATGTGAAATAAAGCCCTACTGCTTCTGAAACGAGAGGATTTAGGATTAGGAAGAAGAGAAGTAGCATAACTATGGCTGTTCTTGAGTAATCACCAGTAAGCAAACTGGAAGCATCATCTCCTGATCCACCAGGAATACCTGTTCTCTGTTCTGTGTCTCAAGCTAGTCCTATTATAGTATCATATTGCTAATAACAAGCCAGCCACCTCTTTTGCTTCTTAATCAGTTTTCAGGGATAGAAATTATACAGCTCAGTTTAGTAACCCTCAGTACTTTGCCTGTGTGCAGCTTGTTGCTGAGGACCTCTCCCAAGAATGCTTCTGGACAAAGGTGAAGGAGGACCGCTTTGAGAACAATGAACTTTTCGCCAAACTTACCCTTTCCTTCTCTGCCCAGACCAAGAGTGAGCAACTTCCTCTTTTGTGCAATGGCCCAGTTTGGGGCTTAGAATATCTTTTATTCTAAGCAGATTTCTCATTCTCTTTTCTTTCTCTGGGTGAGGGTGGAGAGGGAACGTTGGGTGGAAGGTTTTCCATTAGGAAGGAAATAAAATGTTTTCGTATTCTGGGATACTAGGGTTGGGAAATCTGGGTATTTTATATCAGTGTAACTTGTGGGATATGAGATGGAGGTGACAGAAGCTCAGACTAGGCCCATTTGATGATCATATTAACTCGATTCTAGCACTGCCTTCAGGTGCCCATGTCCAGACTTTTGGGGGCTTAGTAAGGGTTGGGCAGAGTCCTAGCGGGTCAGGTGGCTGAATGACTAACTACAAAGAACGATGTGTGATTCTTTTTCTCCCATTTCTCTCCAATATCTGATGCTTTCATCTTTCTGGCTGGCCCTTGGCTCCTACAGCTTCCAAAGGTAAGAATACAGAAGTCTCCTGAATGTTTAAGAGATGAAGCACATATAAAGGAATTTCTCTTCAGAAAACTCAGACTGAAGATTGGGGATGAATTTCTCTTTTGCTAGTTTTTTTCAAAACTCTGTGAAGTCTAGGAGGACCAATCACTGTGGTTTTAACTAACACGAAGGAAGATTATTTAAGTTGAAACTACCATATACATGATCTTTCTTTGGACAGTGAGAAATAGCTTAAGTAATACTGTATTTGTGTTGTGTTTTACATTCTTCAAAGTGCTTTAAAATATGCTACCTTACTTATCCTACAAAACCACCTCATGAGATAGGCAGGATATGTACTGTCTCCATTTTGTAGTATGTAGAGACTCTGAGCAGTTAGAGGGCTTCCCCAATGTCATATGACCAGATCCAGGTATCTTGACTTCTGGCCCATCTTTTTTAATATAAATTCTTGCTTTTCTTACTCTCCTTCATATGTGCTCCTTTACTTTAGAAGACTGATTTATTTTGTCCTTCTCTTCCTTATTGTGGTTTTATGCCACCTTGTGATAGGTCACTTGTAGTTATTTACCCTAAAGGATGCAGCATTCAAAAGATCTTATGTACCCAATGACAATTATAATCAAATAATTTTATATTTCCATCTTTTTCTAGCATTTTGTTTTCTTTGGAAGTTTATTGTGACCCTAGAAATGAAAATCAAGTACAACTTTGGTCCATTCCCTTCTATTCCTCATAAATTCACATTTTCAGAGACAGGCCCCCCCGCCCCCCAAGTGATTTAATGGAAGTAGTCTTAGGGAGCTCTGGTGGTGTAGTGCCTAAGGCATTTGACTACTTACCAGAAGGTTGGCGGTTTAAACTCACCAGCCACTTTGCAGAAGGAAGACTGGACAGTCTACTTCCGTAAAGATTTACCACCTCGGAAACCTAAAGGGTGTTGCTATGAGTCTAAATCAACTCTATGGCAGTGAGTTTGGTTTTGGTTTAGGCATTACTTGGTTCCAGTAAGGAACCTCATAGATTGCTGGTGCCTCTGGTAGCTCTTAAAAATTATGTGTGTATATCTGGGAGGGTAAGATCACAGTGCTTAGGCCTGTTTTGTTCCAGGAAAATGGTCTTTTCCTCTTGGAGAGTTGTCACCTCAGCTAAAGGCCAGTTGAAAATATTGTGATGGTGACCATTTATATTATTCTAGTATATCAAAGAAGACTAGTTGACAATAAAAATTAAATGATTTCCTAATTTGTGGGTTCACAGAATCTATCCCTGTGTTGGCCTCTGGTGTCAGTCCCTTTCTTGCTACTGAGCTCTTGTGTTCTGAGTGTACATGTATACCAGTGTACACTGATTGAGCCCCTTTCTCCCTCCTCCTACCCTCAACCTTCATTTATCTTAACATTTGTATTCCTATTGATTGTAGTTGAGTTTTCTGCAGTTTAGTGGTCTTCCTTGACATTAGATTCCCATTATGAATTGGTATGTAGTATTTTAAAACTATCCAAGCAAGACTTTATCTTTCCTTTTGTTATTTTTATCAGTGTTACCATATTTTTAATGCTCTATCACCTCTTAACTTCTGCCCAAGAAACTGCTTTCTAGTCGTTGAAGGTCCTAACTTCTTGCCACTTTGACATTTTTTTTCTTTTTGCTTTTTAAACTATTCTGAGAAATCTCTGTATCTTATAATGAAAAGAATAAATATGAATTGTTATTAGGTATCATCACGTTGGCTCCAATTCACAGCAACCCTGTGTACAACAGAGGAAACACTGCCAGATCCTGTGCCATCCTCACAATCTTCGCTGTATGTGAGCCCATCGTTACAGCCACTGTTTCAGTCCATCCTGTTGAGAGTCTTCCCCTTTTTCCCTGACCCTCCACTTTACCAAGCATGATATCCTTCTCCAGAGAATGGTCCCTTCTGACAACGTGACCAAAGTAGGTGAGACAAAGTCTGGTCATTCTCTCCAAGAAGCATAATCTGGTTGCTTTTCTCCCGGGACAGATTTGTTCATTCTTTTGGTAGTCCATGGTACTTTTAGTATCCTTCACCAACACCGTAAATCAAAGGCATCAACTCCTCAGTCTTCCTTATTCATTATCTAGTTTTCACATTAGAGGTGACTGAATATACCATGGCTTGGGGCAGGCACACCTTAGTCTTCAAAGTGTCATCTTTGCTTCTTAACACTATAAAGAGGTCTTTTGCAGCAGATTTGTGCAGTGTAATATGACGGGTGATTTCTTGACTGCTCCTTCCATGGGTGTTGCTTTTGGATCCAAGCAAAATGAAATCCCTGCAACTTCAGACTTTTCTCCATTTATCGTTGATGTTGCTTATTGGTCCAGTTGTGAGGATTTTAATTTATGTTGAGGTATAATCCATATGTCAGGCTGTAGTTTTTGATCTTCATCAGTGAGTGCTTCAAGTACTCCTCATTTTCAGCAAGCAAGGTTGTATCATCTGCATATCGCAAGTTGTTAATAAGTCTTCTTCCAATACTGATGCCACATTCTTCTTCATATAGTCCAGCTTCTCAGATTTTTTGCTCAGCATATAGATTGAATAAGTATGGTGAAAGGATACAAGCCTGATGCACACCTTTCCTGAATTTTAAACCATGCAGTATCACCTTGTTCACTTTGAACGACAGCCTCTTGTTCTACGTGCAGGTTCCTCATGAGCACAATTACGTATTCTGGAATTCCCATTCTTGCCAATGTTATCCATAATTTGTTATGATCCACACAGTCAGATGCCTTTGCATAGTCAATAAAACACAGGTAAACTTCTCTCTGGTGTTCTTTCCTTTCAGCCAAGATTCATCTGACATCAGCAATGATAATCCCTTGTTCCAGGTCCTCTTCTGAATCCATCTTGCATTTCTGAAAGTTCACTGTCAGTATACCACTGCAACCATTTTTGAATGATCTTTAGCAAAATTTTACTTGCATGTGATATTGATGATATTGTTCAATAATTTTCATGTTCTATTGGATCACCTTTCTTTGGAATGGGCACAAATATCAATCTTTTCCAGTCAGTTGGCCAGGTAGCTGTCTTCCAGATTCTTGGTATGAATGAGTAAGCGCCTCCAGCACTGCATCCATTTGTTGAAATATCTTAATATGTATTCTGTCAATTCCTGGAGACTTGTTTTTCGCTAGTTCCTTCAATGCAGCTTGGACTTCTTCCTTCAGTACCATTGGTTCTTCATCATATGGTACCTCCTGAAATAGTTGAACATTGACCAATTCTTTTTGGTACAGTGACTCTGTGTATTCTTTCCATCTTTTGATACTTCCTGCCTCATTCAATACTATGTCCATAGAATCGTTCAGTATCGCAATGCAAGGCTTGACTTTTTTTCTTCAGTTCTTTCAGCTTGAGAAATGCTGAGTGTGTTCTTCTCTTTTGGTTTTTTAACTCCAGGTCTTTGAACATTTCATTATAATACTTTACTTTGTCTTCTTGAGCTTCCCTTTGAAGTCAATATGAATTAATCTATTTCATTTAGATTAGCGGCAGTATTGATTTTCATACAGTAATAATCATCACTATAAAGCGGCAGGATTCAAGTACGGGGCGGAAGACAGGCAGGCCCCAGCCCCCAGAGCCAGGAAAGGGAGGGAACGGCCGGGGACCACAAAAATGGCAGAATCCAGGTAAGGGGCAGGAGACAGGCAAGTCCCAGAGCCAGGAAAGGGAGGGAAGGGCAGAGAGGTTTCCAACAGCTAGGGGAGACATACTTGTCTGTCACTTTGTTATCCTGTGGGGCTTGCACATTGCTGTGAGACTTGAGGCTGTGCCACCAGTATTTCAAACAGCAGGGTTGCACATGGTGCCTCGGTTTCAATGCAGCTTACAGACTAGGAAGAAGGAAGAGGCCATCAACTTCTCAAAAAATTAGCCAGGCCACAGGAACTCCATCACAGTCTATGTGCTCAGATGGAGCCTGGGTGCCCTACCCAGTCCTCCACCGATTTTTCCTTTTTTTTTTTTTTCTTTTTTGCTTTCTTTTTCCCGGTGATTAGTTTGCTTGTATTTGTCCGTTTCAAACCAACTAATATTATTAATACTTTTGTCCACTTTATTATTATTATTAATCTTCCCCTACCAGGTCCTAGTTTTCAGCATTTTTTTTTCTT